AGAGCAAATTGACTAATACCCAAGGTAGAAATAGCTATCCGTGTCTTATTTCCATATATCCATTTACCTTGCCAGTATTACCCTGATGCTGAAACCACTAGATAAGAATTAAGATAAATGGACATCAATCAAATGTTGATCACTAGCATAGAATTAATAACTAGATAGCAATGAAATCAAGCAAATTCAAGCAATTAATTAAATACCCAATAATAGACAATAGATTTGGAATAAAATTGCAACAAGGGTTTTAGTTACACATAATGGAAATTGAAATAAAACTGAAAATTAAGTAACAAACATGATGGTGATGAGGGCAAAACTGATGTGTAAAAACTGAAACTCGCTGGTCAAAGATAGTATAGAAAATTATCGTTTCCACAAGGATTGGTTTAAACAGTGTTCAAGTAAATTTATGGCATGTTGCTATTCAGGATGAATCACACTTTTCATTTGAATTGATTTAATGACTACAATTATTAACTAAAATTATGACTAAGTAAATTCGATCACACAAAACTAGAGAGTAGAGCTAAAGCGGGTTGTTATCAATATGAGAAATAATGATCGCGGCGCGATAGGTACAAGATTGCTATCCCGGATCTTATCTGTTCAATTTTACTCTTGAAGTTTTATTAATTCTCACGAATTCGACAGGTGATTAGCTTATTATTATGGTCAAGATTCTTCTTTCGAATAAACCTAAATCTTATAAATCAACTAATGTGAAGTGTAGTGAAATATGCAAGAATCTCGTTGGTAGGAATGGTCTAAGAGAAACTTCTTGCGAATTTTCTCAATCTTAATTCAAATGGTAAGTCACAAAGTTCTTTCGATTACTTTAAAGATTTACCAAAGTAAATTAAGGCATACGTTGCAACAATATTCAATAAGATGTTCGTTTTCAATTGACCAGATAAAGAATAAAGTCACAACTAAGATTAAAACTCCTCCAACCAATTCAAGCAATCAAACATGAGTTAAATTCATGAACAACAATCAAGTCACTAAATCATGTCAAACCCTAAGGTGAACTACTCCATAACAATTGAGAAAGTCATCCCAAAATAGTTAAGAAACATAAAAATCATCCAAACCAACTTTACGATACAAACTCTTGTCTTGAATCGATCGTTTATAAGAAAACTGGTGAAAATCTCGTTTTTCCTCCTTTGTCGCTTTCCAATAGCTTCCTCGGTCGAATCCCCCTTCACAATCGTGCTTAAAGTTTATTTATACCGTGTAGGAATAAACCCGGACCAAAATACCCTCTCTAACCCTAAAAGGGGAAAGCAAACCACCATTTTGCACTGGCGTATCGCCCAGCGCAAGACCCTACACGACGCGCTAGTGGTACTTTTCGAAGAAGTGCTTTTTTCATCAGTTTGCTACTTTTCTCTTGCCGCGTCCCTTGCGTGGCGCCCCACACGGCGCGGTAGTGTATTTCTCTGCGCTTCCGATTGTTCTTCACTTCTTAACATCCAGACTCGGTCCTAGAACCCCGAACATGATCCCGGTTTAATTCTTTGGACTTTTACTCAGACTTCGAAGCTCCAATTGATCCATTTTAGCTCCAACCATACTTCTCAACTCGGAATCACTTCCTACAAGGCACAATACATGTAATAAATATAAAGTACTAGCAATTTAGCTCAAACACGATTAAACTACAGCAATTAGAGTGCAAAATGTAGCTAAAAACATGTGTTCCTACCTACAATCAATGGGTAAAGAGAACTAGATAGAAAATGGCAAGCTACAATATTGAATTCCTCCAAAATTGAAGTTAACATGCTTCCCAAGTCTCCAAACCCTTGTTCCTCAGCTTCCCAGCTTCAAAGATACTAAAAATAACCCTAAACGTTCTATTATGGTTAATTAAAACAAATAGTAAAGTTCCAAAAAATGTCCCTCTGAACTACTACACCTCGGACCCACATTATTCTGTGATCTGCAAAATGCCTCTTGCTAAACTTCTGAAGTTTTCCTTCTGCCTGAAAGCGCAGTCCGCACTTCAGACCTAGGTCCGCAAAATAATTTGATCAAAAAGCTGCTCTCTGAATCTCCACTTCATGGGAGCATTTTCATTTTGCCTCAGCATAATTGCAACTGCAAAGAGTATGTTCTGACACTTAAAATCATGGACCCCATTCTTGCTTCACTGAATATGTTGACTTGGGCCTAATACTGACTCTGATCTGCGTTCTGCGGGTTGTTTCATGTTCGGCAGTTCTTCTTTTCTTCTTGCTTTCAGCTTTGCTTCCTCGAAATTCATCTTCAAAGCTCTAAAATGTAAAATCTAAATCTTCATTTCTTGGCCTCTTTTCTGCGCGATTTCCACTTCCTTGGCCATCTACACTCTTCTTGATGAAACCAAGCAATTTATGCCATAATTATAAACTAAAGACGGTAAAACTTAAGTAAAAGACAATGATAAGTTGGCCAAAACCCCACTTATCAACTGCTTTCATTTAAACTTTGCATACTTCTATTGGAAAGTTTTTGAACTTCATTCACTTGGGGTGATACCCCATACCCCACTTGTGGGATTACACTGGGTTTGTTGTTGTAACTTGGGGTGATAAAGCAACCTGAAACACGAACATGTGGGTTTATTTCTAATAATTGCGCACTCTCTTCAATACAATCACAACTTTCCGGATTGAGTGTTGAGATAAACTGGAATACTCTGAGAACTAATCATCTTGTTCTGAACGAGTTTAGCCTAGTATAGTACATTTGAATTTGCTGAAGTTGTCAGCATGAGGAAACTACACCCTCAAGCTTCGAAACTGTGAAACTCTTGTATGCCTAAATAGATGGCTTAGGACTCTTGCCATTACTTTGCTTTTCTAATTTTTGGATTTGGATTGGGTTGAATGCATCAAATCTTTGCTGCCATGCTTTAAGTTGCTCTGAGACAGATTGTACTTAATAGTAGAATGTTGACAGAACTCTGTTGGTGAGGAAGCACATTTGGCTATTGAAACTAGTGGCCATGGAGCTCTAAAGGAGAATCATTGGCTTGATGATGGTGCATACCTTATGGTACATTTCTGCCAAAACTAGTCCCTGGCTTCTAAGATTTTTGTTGTCGGTACATTTTCTGAATCTTGTTTGTTTGTGTTCCTCACTTGCAGGTGAAGTTACTGAATAAGCTTGCATCAGCTAGAACATCGGGACAAGGAAGTGGCAGCAAAGTCTTGACCGACATGGTGGAGGGTCTCGAAGAACCAGCTGTTGCTGTTGAACTTAGACTAAAGATCGATCAGAATCACTCAGATCTTATAGGAGGGTATGCTATTTGTCCTTGCAATTTAATTTGGCTTAGCTTATTGTGTTTCTGTAAATTAAGGAACATGCTTGTGCCTCCAGATCCTTCCGTGATTATGGGGAAGCAGTGTTGAAGCAGCTTGAGAATACAGTTGACTCAGATGCTAAGCTTCTAAAAGCACCTGTTAACTATGAAGGGGTAAGCTTTTAGCTGTTGTCGTCCTTGCAGAAGCAGATCAAGTTACTTTTTTTTTACCATTGATTTATTATTATGTTCCTTGAAATTGGAGCTCACCGAGTAGCAACTGCTTATGGCCAGCATATTTCATTTGTTTAGTCGTTGTGGTAGTCGTTGCATGTGCTGAAATCATCATATGTATCCTGCTGTTGGTCTGAAGTTCATTAGCTGTAATCTGCTAATCCCTGGATATCTACACAAGTATATTTGCGATTAACAGTCACCAGATTATTTTGGCTTTGATGACAGGTTAGAGTTTCTGGTTATGGCGGTTGGTTCCTTCTAAGACTTTCACTACATGACCCTGTTCTACCCCTTAATATTGAGGTTACAACTATTTCTTTTGAGTATTTCTTGAGCTCTTGCACTTTTCTGCGAGTACAAATATCTGATATAGACTATATATCATTTTAGGCACCAAGCAAGGAGGCTGCTGTAAAACTTGCTCATGATGTGCTTAATGCTGTGAAAGAGTTCACCGCCCTTGATACCTCCGCCTTGACTAAGTTTGTTGGAGCATGAGTATGAGCAGTTGCGCTTTGCATTTATCTGTTATCTAGATGATCATCAACGTTTGGACAACCTGACCGCGGGGCCACTGATGTGTTTTTGGATCTTTCAAAACTTGGAAATGCTGGCATAGAAAAGTTTTCTTTCACAAATCAAGAGCTGTATGTAATAAAGTTATACTGTCTGTGCAAACAACATAAAAATGTGAATGATAGGTACCCAGAGACAGTTGTGATTACTTCGTTTATAGTAGTTGTTTGGTGCATCTTTTACCTCAAGGAATACAGATATCCAAGGCCGATTGGAACTTTGCCTTGAATAGGACTCCATTATGGTTTGTCAACGCCAGATATCATGTAGAAAGAAAAATCTGTCCTTTGCTACACACTTCAACCTGGGGGAACCACGAAACGGTGCTCAAGTCTCCATCTCTGGTTATAGGAACAAGTTGATGGGCTATATAACAAATTGTATTACTACTTTTGATTTTTGTATCCTATTTCTGAAAATAAAAAAGATTGAAATTCAGTAGTTAACTTTTTGGGTTTTTTTTTGTCTTTTTTTTTCTTCTCTTGGAGGATATGGGTAGAGTGAAACTGAAAATTACCATGAAACTTGGACTATTCTGATGAGTTTGGAGGTTGTTATCCGTCAAATACAAGAATTTAAGCAGGAATTTTGTTGATTCTTATTTTAATTGCTTTGAGATTGACTTGATTCAGAGTGTTATTATCCTGCACATGCTTATTTTATTTCTAAAATTTTTGTTTTCGAATACCTTTTACGAATATTAAGAGTAAATGGAAGCTAGTATTCTCTAGGATTTTGAGCAATAACAAAAGTGTCGTTTCTTAACCATTAGAATTCAGATATGTGAAAGGGTCAGCTGCAAGCCTGCAATTTCCAAAAAAGGAAGAACAATGGAATGTGCAGATTGACACGGACAAACACAAAAATTTTGCATTTGCAATGTGAAAGGTGGTAAGCGGAAAAGCAAAAAACAGTAAGATGATTGACACTTCGTACTTTTGACAAGCATTATACAACAGAAACATTGTAAAGAAGAAATTTTGACTAAACCAATACAATAATTACAGCTATTGCTCCCTTAATTTCACATAAATATACAAGTATCACACACCCAATTGTTTACTAAACTGTCTTATATGTCCAGTAGTTTCATCAATAAATTGAACTGCATATTTGGGGATGTCTTGGGTTGAGGCCATTTTGCTCCTTCTGGCACATTGATGATTCTGAAGCCTTGTCCTATATACAACTTTACGGCTCCAGGGTTGCTAGTGTCACAATGTAAAGCAATTGCACGGCATCCCCAGCTTCTGGCTTGTGCCTCCGCTTTAGTTATGAGTTTTTTTGCTATGCCTTTTCGGCGGTATCTTTCCCGGACTGCAACATTTGATATATAGGCAATTCCTTTCCTGTAAAAATTATTAATGCCTTGCATAAGATAGAAATCATGTTCAATGCAAAACCAGTTGAGCAAAGAACTACAATGGTTTCATCAGCTTTTGATTGAGTGGATGTTATGTCAAAAAATATATGTTGCAGTACGGCGGTATCTTTCCCGGACTGCAACATTTGATATATAGGCAATTCCTTTCCTGTAAAAATTATTAATGCCTTGCGCCTTGCATAAGATAGAAATCATGTTCAATGCAAAACCAGTTGAGCAAAGAACTACAATGGTTTCATCAGCTTTTGATTGAGTGGATGTTATGTCAAAAAGTATATGGATACACAAATGCACATAAAGAGAAAGGAGCAGAACTCCACTAGAGCGGATGGACTAACCTCCCGATCCCATTACCCAAGTATTTGTTTCTTAATCATGTTTTATATCCATCCCCTTTATTTCTTCAGTACGAGTAATCGGTACCCTCTAGTTCTACTTCTAACTAAGGCAAACGACCAACTACGGAAGCCATACAAACTCTCTTTCTTGTGAGCAAAAAGGTGTACTGGCTATTTGGGTTGTGAAAGAGACGGTTAATATTATGTACTCCCTTCTCTCATTTCACATGATGGTATTTGATTAGAGATGGAGTGTAAGATATTAGTTATATTTATATATTATATTAGTGATGGTAGAAGAAACTTATTAATAAAATGGTTGCAAAGTGAGTGCACTCCACAGTTATGTGGTTTAATGCTAAACATTCTGGGGATTCACAAGTCCATGCCTAGATCAGGGAAGGCAACTTCTTTTGTGTCGGAACAAGAGGGGACTGAAGAAAGCAGTAGTTGAAGTCAAGACTCTTATCCCAAATAGCCAAATAGCATCGGTGTATTGACTATCATAACAGACAGTGTTTTGAGGTTCCATCTTTCCATACAGGAAAATACTACGGTATATAGTTTACATTTGTCCCCCGTTATACTTTTCGTCCAAATCCACCCCTACCGTTAATAAACTTTTTAGAATTGCCCCTAACCCTAACGGCCCTCCACCTTGGCACCCCACCCCTCTAATAATTCGTCCATGTCAGCAGCCAAGTCATGGCACCCGACCCCTCTAATAATTCCCCCCCACTTTACAGAACCTTTTCTACTCCCTCTTCTTTATTTCCACCTTTTCCTCATAACAATCGGCACCACGGCTGCCAGAATAGTTAACCCAAAAAATTTCATTTTTTCCCTTCTCAAAGTCCTGACAAATCCTCATACATACTCTTCTCTTCCTCTGTACCACCCACCTTACTCAACAACCCCCTTATCAAACTCTAATTCTTCTTTTGGTTTAGAACCATAGTTCTTTCTTATTGCTATTTTTACTCTTATTGTAGCTTTATTTTAAGAAGATAAAGAAGTTTAATTTATCTATTTCTTTCTCTGCCGGCTCCGAAAACTTCTCGGCCATCTGAGAACTACCCACATGTCTAAAACAACCAGCACACCTTCTGCAACTTCCGAATGGCAGTAGTAAAAATGACATTAGCAACGATGATGCTGACCATGTACTTTCTGACAGTCGAAGAACCACCCACAATCTACAACTACCAACACAGCTTCCATCAAATAATTCCGGCAACACAACTTCATTTAGCGTCTAAAATTTTGGCTATTATATGAGTTTTTCTATAATTGTACAATTTCTTGTTTAACCAAAAACTAGAATTTCTTTTGATAAAGTTTAGCTACGGAATATTATATATGATTTACTGGGTGAAATGAAATCCGTCAACTTATGAACAAGATTGTTGATGCTATATGGATAAGACAAAGAAAAAAACAAGAAATAGAAACAATGGCTCTTATGGTGAAGGTTATGCTTTTTTGTTGTGGTGTTTGGACTGCAAATTCAGGCAAAGGAGTGGTGGAGGAAGGTGAAGTTAAGGTGGAGGAGCTATTGTGGGGCTATTTGGCTGGGCTAATAACATTAAGTCACGTGTCCAGTTGTGCTAATGGTCAACTATATTTATGGGATGGGTCAGATGGGTCAATTGGGTATGGGTCAAGTTTATGGAGATGGATTATTTTAAGATAGTGGGATCTGCTGACTTGGCTGCTGATATGGATAAATTATTATAGGGGTCGGGTGCCAAGGTGGAGGGGCGTAAGGGTTAGGGGCAATTCTAAAAAGTTTACTAACGGTAGGGGTGGATCTGAACAAAAAGTATAACGAGGGACAAATATAAACTATATACCATAGTAGAGGGATAAATACGGACCTTTTCCCTAAAAATTATTAATGCCTTGCATAAGATAGAAATCATGTTCAATGCAAAACCTGTTGAGCAAAGAACTACAATGGTTTCATCAGCTTTTGATTGAGTGGATGTTATGTCAAAAAGTATATGGATACAGAAATGCACATAAAGGAGAAGGAGTAGAACTCCACTAGAGCGGATGGACTAACCTCCTGATCCCATTACCAAGTATTTGTTTCTTAATCATGTTTTATATCCATCCCCTTTATTTCTTCAGTACGAGTAATCGGTACCCTCTAGTTCTACTTCTAACTAAGGCAAACGACCAACTACGGAAGCCATACAAACTCTCTTTCTTGTGAGCAAAAAGGTGTACTGGCTATTTGGGTTGTGAAAGAGACAGTTGATTAATATTATGTACTCCCTTCTCTCATTTCACATGATGGTATTTGATTAGAGATGGAGTTTAAGATATTAGTTATATTTATATATTACTAGTAGTCGTACCCGCGCGATGCGTGGTCAGTATTAAAAAATATTAATTAAATTAAATTATGATAGGGCTTGTTTGATCCTATTAGATTGTATTGCTTTAATAAAATTCAATTGTCATCTTACTTGTCAATACGATATACCCAATAATGAAATCTCTATTAAATCAAAGGTACTTCTATAGTTAGTGAATAACTTTTTTGTTCTATATATTTTTTATTATATTAACCAATATTTAATATTCGCTTTCTTTTTGTCATATATGAGAAGATTTATAATTTATTACTGTTGAAATATTTTTTTTGTTTTAAATTTTATTCTATTGTTCTTAATAATATTATTTAAATTTTAATGAACAAAATCTCTGTTCAACTAACGGGACTTATACAGGGAGCGCATTGAATAACTTTTTTGTTATGTATTTTTATTTATTATATCATCTAATATTTAATATTATTACATTGTTAATAGAAAGTTTTATTAGCATATTACTTTATTAAATATTTTTCTCTGAAAGTTTTTTATGTCTTTATTTTCGTTTTATTATTTTAAAATAGTTTTAAAACTCCAACTTGAAACTAATCCCCAATTTGAATTGTTAATTTATTATTTTTTTAATTTTTTTTTTATTTTAAAATTATTTGAAAACTCCAACTTGAAACTACATCCCGATTTGAATGGGTAGTTTTTCTTCTCTTTCTTTCGTTTTTCTTAAAGCTAATTTTTTTTTTTGCTTTTTTATTTTAAGATAATTTATAAATTCCAACTTGAAACTACTCCCACCCAATTTGA